TCCCTACCATTGGTTTTGAACCATTTGTCGTCGCCAGGTTCTTATGAGCCGCTTTGGCGCTGTGCTGTCAAAGCCAATCCCAAATTTATTCATACATTGTTATGTCTGCACACCCACCTAGATAAGAGAGGTTGGACAAAAAAAAATATGAGAAGAAAATAAAGGGACCGATGGCCCCGGAGGGACATGGGAGTGTGGGAGGTAGGGGAAGGGAGGAGGGTTGGCTAACCTAGGGACAAGGGAACAACTAGCTCTTGTCTTTTGTGGTAGAGAGTCTTTTTTAGCAATGCTAACTCTGATATTTTAGCAATGCTAACTCTGATATTTGGGATCAATTTTAATTGAATGATTCTTCTCCTGATAATAGAGTGTTTTCTTGCTTCTTTGTATACTAGTTAATTTCTTTAAAACATTTTTCATCTATCTATTTATTTACTTTTGTTTTTGCTAGGTAATTTCTTAGGCATTATGAATTTTACTTTTTTGGTTACTGGATATTGTTGTTTTCCTATATTTTTAGTCTTTCCTGTGATGCAATTACATGAAAAGCAGTTTTATCTTACTTTATATTTGTCAAATGGGACCACTTCATGGTTTAGATTAAACCGAAAAAAAAAAAAAAAGTCTACTGCTATCGAGTTGGTACTGACTCATAACAAGCCTATCTAGGCTTTCCAAGGCTATAAATCTTTACAGGAATAAATAGCTTTATCTTACTCTTGCAGATTGACTGGTGGTTTTGAACGGTCAACCTTGTGGTCATAGTCCAATTTTTATGGGACCCTCAACAATGTTTAGTCTAATTATTTCCTTATATTGTGGCAAGATCCTGCTGAGTACTTTACCATTGCCAAGTGTAGATTAGGTTTTCCAGTCTAATTCGGGAGATGGGATTACATGTGGCTCTGTGTCAGTATCCACACAGGAACGTCTAACCTATTTTGGTTGCTTTCCCCCCTGACCTTGGCTGATGGCCTGGCATGCATATCCTGGTTAATATTCTACTGAATACTATACGGAGATTAGGGACTCCTCTTGGACCTTCTTTGAGGGCCCCTTTCTGCAGAAATCTCCTCTTTGGTAGCCTATCCAGAAGACGCCAGATTCCTTAGTCTTCCAAGAATCTTATAATTGACTCATTAGCTTAGGGTCTCCCCTGGGCTCACTCGAGTTCATTTTCCTTATGTCAGCACTTGAAAAATCTCGTGAAAGGCAGTACACTGAAACATGGTGACATCTCTCCAGGATCGTTATTCTTTTTTTTAATAATAATTTTATTAGGGGCACATACAACTCTTATCACAATCCATACATACATCAATTGTGTAAAGCACATTTGTACATTCTTTGTCCTTATTATTCTCAAAACATTTGCTCTCCACTTAAGCCCCTGGCATCAGCTCCTCATTTTTTTCCCTCCCTCCCTGCTCCCCTTCCCTCGTGATCCCTTGATAATTTATAAATTATTAATTTGTCATATCTTACTCTGTCCGACATCTCCCTTCACCCACTTTTCTGTTGTCTGTCCCCTAAGGAGGAGGTTATATGTAGATCCTTGTAATTAGTTCCCCC